TGGACGTAATTTTTTTTGGAAAACTACTATAGCTATGTCAACCAAACTGTATAGAGTCGTTTCTTTTAGGCATTTCCATATACAGTTCAAAAACGGAAGAAATCGGATAATAACCAGGCCCACCTCCCATACAAAGGTTATGTTGAAAATCACAAAAAACGTCAGAAACACTAAATTTTATGGAAGAAATGTCAAAAGGAAGCTGCATCCAGGCTTTTTCTAAAATTGAAAATGGGCGTGGCGTCGCCCACTTGTGGACCAAAAACCATATCTCAGGAAGTACTCAACCGATTTCGATGAAATTCGGTATATAATATTTTCTTAACACCCTGATGATATGTGCCAAATCGGTTCACAACCACGCCTGAAATCTCGATTATCACTTTATCATGCGAGAGTATAAAGTGTTCGGTGACACCTTAGCCCTTCCTTACTTGTTTTCAAATATATTTTATGAGGTTAACTTATGTTATGTTAAGTTTAGTTAAGTTATGTCATATTATGTTATGTTGCATTAAGTTAAGTTAGCTGAAGTTTTTTATGCTAAATTATATTTTCTGTTACGTTATATTCCTTTAAGTTAAGTTAAGTTCTTTTGGAAAGTCGCCATTATCAATTTTTGTTTTTGAATATCGGATTATTTAAGTGGAAAAATCTTCCTTACCGCTACCTTTGTTCGGAGATATTCTTTGAGATCCGCAATGGATTGTTTAATTATTAAAAAAAAAACTATCTATTCAAAAAATAAAAAGTAAAAAAAAAAAATTTCTGACTCACAAATAGTTATTTCCATGTAATATTAAAATACCCACTTTTTAGCCTTGTCCGGCCCACTGTGCGTTATCAGCAATTGTTGCAGGGTTATTGATTTTCCAATATTTTGCTGACGTCGGCAGGTCGATGCAGTGAATACACAAAAGAAACATATCAATACACATACACGCACGCACACTTTCAAAGCTCTACAAAGTGGCAACAATAATGAATTTATGTGCGTATGTGTATGTGTAGGCGGCTGTATATGTGAGCTAACAACAAAGCCAAACTTAACGCTTGCCATTTCTAATCACAGTTAGTTTATCATATGTGCTCACTTAGTAAGATCTAAATATATCCTCAYTATTATTAGCGCAGCAATGCGGTTTGAAGTGGAATAAATTAAATTGTCAGTTCCACATGTATGTTTGTATGTAATTATATTATATATTTGCGTATTTTCAAATTGGCAGATTTATTAATATGTCATTTAATGAAACGTCATCAACAATATCATACTTAACGTAGCATTTGTATATATATTATACATGTATGTATGTATATGTGAGTAGATATAATTAGCATAGCGCTGACATGTGTGATATGTAGCAATAACAATATATTTTGTAACCGTTTGCTTAACTACAAATGTGCTGTGCATATATATAAGTATCAGTGTATGTATATTTCGATTGTGGTTGTTTGTGTTTGGCTTCGCCCACTAAATGGTAATGACGTTGCAATAATAAGTCTTTAGGGTTAACAAGGTAAAACGTTTTCGTGGATATGATCRATTTCGCATTTGCGTTGTGTTTTTCGATTATTTACATATACAAGTATATGTATATATAAATACATATATATAAGTTTATTCTACGCGCTTCTGCAGATATAAATATGTATGGTTGGGTATATATAAATAATGTATTTTCGTTTTAATAATGTATAAGGTTCACTAATTTGGAAGCATAGTTGATTTGTCGTTAATGAAAGCTTTCAAGGATGTTGTGTGAGTATATGTCTGTAACGATACATGTATGTGTGGAATTTTATGTTTTTCCATATTTTATGAGGTTAATGTTGGAGTGTACATAGTTCATAAGTAAAGTTAGGTTAGGATGGGTTATTGCTTTATAAAACTCTGACTGCTCATAAAATCAAAGGATACAAAGCAAAAATCCTGATGTCGAAACATTAAGGCATTGAAAAATTAAATTATCTAGATCATTTAGAATATTGTCCTAAAATTTCAAGGTGATCCGAGTAATAGTTTCGAAGCTACAGCCTTGAGATCTAGTGCTCTCGAGGCTAGCTAGGCTAAGTGTGCCGTCTTTAAATTAATTTTTCTCTGAGCCTCATGAAATTTTGCACAGATCTTTGAGATACAAAGTTTTAGAGATTCGGATGAAGGATTTCTTTCRATTACAAAATGTCTGCCAAAAATCAAATTTTCAGTTTTTTTCCCCAAGTTCTAAGTTAAGGTTTTAACTAAAACATGTATTTTTCCCTTTAGGTGATCATGTAAGGAGTTATCTTTCTTCCTAGAGGTCAGCGGAAATGGCGTCGCAATGGCCGAGTTCGAAATATTACTTTCCAAAAATTTCAGAATTTCTTTGTTAAAAGTGTATGTTTGCAACAAAAATAAATGTAATAAAATATTAAATTTTTTATATGAGAAAAAACTGTTTAAARAAGGCTGTTTTTTACCCGAGACAATCCATGTAACTCCTTAAACACTCTTAAAACAGGCTCTCACGACAGATTGATCTACATAACCGGAATGAGYCCGGATTTTGACTCGACTAAGTACTGTCAATTTGGCAGCATGCTTTTAAAATAATTGTCGACTGTTTTTTCCGTCTTTACAACAACAAGAATGAACAAATATTTCTCTAATAATTATGGATCTTACATAGTAGAGTTTGTCAAACTGAGATCGACCGGAATATTATTTCAGAATCGAATTATTTTAGCTTTTGCGACCGTTTTTTATAAAATCTTGACGTAAACAACCTCATTGTTGGATATTTTTTAACATTCTTTCTGAGTAAAGCTYTGCGAGAAACGCAAGGGTCTAGAATACATCTAATGAGACAACTGCTATGTTGAGGTTCAATTATAGTCTAGTTAATATAAGCGATTTCGACTTGGTAAATAAATGAGTCCAGAATTCTACGGTATATTCTCCATATTTTGAAATTTAGACCCCGACTGGTCCATAACTCTTGAAGTTGAGGTAATGAAATATTTTATGATATATGGTATGAAGTATTTTATGGAGTCCATTTTATCAAGAATACAGTATTTGAGTGGCATAAATGACTTAGTGAAGGTTTTGAAGTCATCGAATATTTGCCTTAATCAAATCATCTGTTAATAACACCGAAAAATATAAGAAATAGTCCTTCAAAATTCGAGGATATAGTAGAAGATCGCAGGATCTCTTATAGATCAACTCAACACATTTTGGTTAATGTTCTAGGTATAAAGCGTATCAATACTTCACTCGTACCAAAAGCCCTGAAAACCTTTGSGAAAATGACGTAAAGAGGTAAGAAAAGAGATACGTGATAACGTTGCTGACGACTCTACATTTATCAAGGGGTAACAGCAGTTAAGAATATGACGTCGGAAGTATCCAATAATCTAGCGAATGGCATTTTAAAGAGTCGAAACCGAAAAAAAAAAAAGAAAATTCGCTTAGCCGAGGCTTATAAAATGTGTACAGAAAGTTGTATTAAACATTGGCATTCTTGTTTTGTCTCTAGAGCTAATAAAGACGTGTTTTAAAATACATAAAAATTTATGTAGTTTTTTGTCAGTCCGGTTCAAATCGTATCAGCTGATGTATGTAGTTGCATTAACCGTCCCCAACTCAGTCGGGTCTACGTGACCGGAACCGACCCGATTTTTTTTTTCCAGCCTGTCAACTCGGCAGAATTCTGCCGCTACAAAAACAACAACATAGTGTCTTTAACCATATATGAAAAGCAGTTGAAGCGCAGGTTCAAGGTAGACTATAAAAGTAAATATGCTTAAGCTGTCCTACAACTAAATACATAAACTATTTTTGTGAGTAASGGTGTAATTATAATTCGTTGTATTTGTTTGGGAATGTGTTTTTGTTGTTTGTGTAAAATATTTTTTTCGCTTGAATGTGTGTTTTAAAGCACCGTTAGTATGATTGTGTTAATAATAAGCACTTTTTGTGCCTAGAACAACTTCAATATACATATGYAAGTACGTATGTAAGACTATASTACGTACTAAATATAATAATAAATGTATTTTTACGACTTTTCATTGTGTTTCGTTGCTTTTGAATATTTTCTATCTTAACTATAGGCATATGTGGGTGCATAAGTATGAGTATGTGTTATATACGTGTGTGTGTTAAGCACTTAAATATGCAGGCAGTAGACCGGCGGTGACAGCATTCAAGGCACCCAGTCCCATGTTGGCTGCGTCCATATGTAGCCGGTGTCGGTCATTGAACAATACGCATTGTAGTAGCGTCCTGGTGAGCTGTTGCACATTGTGGCACACACACACAGCCACGTGTACGCGAGCGTATTATGTAAGAGAAGAAAACAATAAAAAGTGGATTGTTGTTGTGTTTTTCGATAGTTGTGACAGTTAACTACCGGCAGTATGAGAATTGTGGACACTTGCAGCGGAAGAGATTTTGGAATTCCTCCTTGCACACCTCGTTCCACCAGCATGTGCGCTGCGGTTGTTACATTTGTATGCAAAACAAAAAAAAAAAATTAGGAATTAGTTCATTATATGCATCTGTGTATGTGTGTGTGTATCTGTGCGATGAGCACTCACCTCCGTCTGGTAGCCGTGCACGCTTTGATCAGAGTAGCTGCGCTTCACGAGGCGTCCCGCCAGCGCTGTCGTCTGCCACAGCAGCAAAGTGCTGGCCAACAAAGCCACGGGTAGCTTAAAGTACAAACAATTTCGGTTAATTTTCGGCACATTTTRTATGCAATTGATTTTATCGTATATCCTGCGGCGCCACTTTATTTATATATTTGATTTCCTAGCATATTTTCTTATTTGTTTTTATTGGCGCAAAACATACACACGCACCTTTTTCATTGCGGTGTACACCGCGTCTACTTGGCACTCGCGCTTTGTTGTCTTCCGGTCGCCTTGCTCGAGTGCTTGACTGCCTGCAAGTCTTTACGCGTCACGTTTCAGGCGGCCGTCTGTGGACCCTCTTCAATTTCAATTATGTTTTGTGTCCGTCTTCAGCTTAACTTTTCTGTTTTGTTTGCTGCTTTCTAGCTACACTTAATGTTGGTGTTGTTGTAGCTTGCTTTTTATTGATTCCTGTTGCTCCTTTCGTTGGCCGCTGTTTTCGGCAGCAGCAGCTGCTCGGTTAGGCGCATCAATTTTAYTCAATCGTATTCGTTCCGCAAAATTTCCTTTATWGCATTGTTTTGTTTTTGTTAACAGTTTTCCACTTCCTTCACACTTTGCTGCTTTTTACTTCATTTGTCTATTATTTTATTTCCTCTTTTGTTCGSATTGGCCGTGCCACCTCCGCTTTGTTTCTTTCGTGCGCCGTGGCCTGCATTCACAAATGCTCGTTGCTGTTGTTGTTTTGTGCGCTTTTTGTTATTTATTTGTGCTGTGGTTTTGGCGAGCCGTCACTTCACTTGAACTCTTCAACTTTGATTGGCGATGCTGCACTCAACGTGTCAAAATGTCAAGTGTAATATGTTTTTGTCGTTTGACCCGTCGGCAGTCGAGTGCATGGCGSTGTTGTTGTGACGCAATGCAGCCCTTCTCACAATCAGCTGTCACTTCGCATATCCTTGAGTTGTCACTGGCGCTCTGCTCTCTCGCTCCCTCTCTCTCTCTTGGAAATGCTGTTTTCGGTAAGTGAGAGCGTCAAAGTGCGGCATGCAGTTTGTAGCAGGAAAAAATGCATTCTTTCTATTAAAATAAATTAAAATTTTTTAAATATTTACAGTATTGCTTCTAAAATATCGCAAACACTATGTACAGAGTTGGGAATGATGAATATTTTGCCAAATTAATATTAATCCCGTATCATGATGGATATTTTGCCAAATTGATATTAATCACGTATCAACCTCTCGAGACTCCATCTTGTTACTGTTGTTATAACGGCATAAATAYATATCTACAAATAGTTTTGAGCAGTGCTGGCGCGTTGACTGACTTTAGAAACATACGTATAATTATATATATACATTCCGGTTAGGTAGACCTGCTTGTAATGGAATTTTTTTTTCTACCGGGTTATATCAAGGTATTTTCACAAATAATAGTACCATAATGATAAGAGGTTCATAAAATATTGGCCGTGATCGGATCGAGAAATAAGACTTTACTTTTCAAAATACTTTATTTTGCAGCAGTCATTTTACATTAGATTTCAGATCTGCTATAGTTGGACCTAATGCTGTTTTCGTCAATTTAAACTTAAAGAATTAAGTTTATTTGAAGAAGCATTTCATTTAATAAAAAAATAAAGAAATGTACGCTTACAATGTTTAATAATCGGCGATTCATTTTGAAAAATTTTAGATTTCTTTGTTCGTGCGAGAAGAAGACTTCTAAAATATTCAGGTTAATCGGTGCAGTAGAGCTTGAGAAATGGCGTTTAAAWTTCCATTTCCGGCCAAACCAGTGTGGACTACACCTATAACTCTGAAAAATATTCCAATCCCTTAAACTATTGGAGAAAGCGTGAGGAACGATATTTAATACCATTTATATTTGACATCAGCTATTAGGATTATTATTGTATGAGAGAGAGTTTGCCCCGCTGAAACCCCGTAAATTATCATAAAGCCTAAAGAAACTCCATTATATTTCGTCAGAATTTTTTTGTAGCGCTTTGCCGTTTAATATGCTGAATACATATGCCTATATAAGTAAGTGTACCAAATGGTAATGGGCCACATGTCGTATACGCAACATTTTAGCATAATCTCACAACTCTTTGGAAACTTTTTCTTTTAAAAATATGAAGTTTTGTTAGAAACAAAAGGTAACAATTCGTTGAATAAATTGAATAACTGCAATGCCAGCTGGTAACTACTCTCTAGCATGCATGATGTTGTCGCAAGCTAATTATATYGTCTTTCTTAGAGGCATTGGGAGTTCGTAGTTCTTTGCGCCCTTATTTAAAAAGCTTACAGTGTAGTATGTACTCTCTCACTCTTATTTCTAGTGAGTTTTCTTATCTGAGTTCGTAAAGTTTCCTTCCCAAACCACAAAATTTTTTAAAGTATTAATGTTTCAGCTTAATAGCACTGAGTTTTGAAATCTGAAACCTCTGTGTCCTAATTGTATAGTATTTACATATGTATATTGAATAGTAGTTAATAAAATGGCTTGATTTTTGGAAAATTATAGAAATAGTGTAGTCTTTGAGGAAGGACACRCCTTTAGCAATGAAAGTTCATGCAAATTATTCTGAAAATATCAATATAAATATTTATATAACATATGTTAGAGCAGAAATTCCCAATTATGGCCACTAATCTCTAGACTGCCGCCAAAGTTGATTTTCAAAATAAAAGTTGTTGCTGCTAAAATACATAGTTGTGCGTCAGATAGTAGCTAATAAAATTGCCAACAAATGCACGTTGTTTAGGTTTTTATTTCCAAATTTCACATTCCACATCAAATGCRTGTTTATCTTTCATTCACACCTACTAACACATGCGCCACACAATACCGGAAAGTGCACACAAGCGATTAAACAAACATATGCAATTATGCAGGAATGCCTTTCCCAGTCGTGGCGCTTTTGGAATGGCCAAGTACATATGTATATATTTGTGTTCATACATATATATGTCTGTAATACTTTCATTTCATCTGCCGCCCATAAAAATTGTTCCGTATATTCTACAAGAATTTTATTTCGATTAGGCATAAAATGGGTATTATTCTCCCACAGCGAAGACAACAAGCAGCTGCTGAACAAAAGTCACAAGCCGTGTGATATTTTCGGTTATGAATAGCTTGTTTTCACCTATATGAAATGTATGTCTGTATAAAATCTACATTATAGATACATTATATATCCATATATACCCACAAAGATGAAAAATTATGAAGCGAGAGAGAAAGCAACGGAATTAGTATAATTTTCGTTTTTTCAATAAAAACGTAAATTTGTTTGCAAATTTGAAAACAAAAATTAAATGAAATAAAAACAGAAATAAATAAAATCTAAAATTAAAAAAATATACAAAATATGTATGTATATACATGTATATTTATCACCATAAATATATATTATATATTATTGTATTAAGCACTTATTATTGCCATCATTTTCTTCAAATTTGATTATGCCAATTTATACGAGTTATACCAGCTGTTTGTTCGTTTATCTGTACAACAAGTTATGACAAATTGTTAAACAAATTTCTTTTCTTGTCCAACATAAAATAAACACATTAAGATACACACCCTGTATTTGTATGAGTTGCTCTATTTGATACATCTGTTTACTATTTTATTTGCTCATCTCTTAATTTATGTTTATGCCTGCCAATTGGTCTGCTTAAGCAGCACCTTTCGGAAAGTGTTGAAAAAACATTGCAATATTTCCTTTTCTATTTTCAGCATAGCTTGTTTATATTTTATTTTTACTTCGCCTACCTTATCGAATTGCTCACGTTGTGAACTCATTGTTGTGCTCACAAGTTAATTGTTTAGTTATTAGTCATTTTGACGTGAAATTTTTGTAAAATGGCTTTAAAATATTCTAGAAATGTTGCAACAAAAACACAAACAGTCCAGTCATATTTGCACACGACATACATAAACACATGTGGGTATATACATATAATATGTATGTGTAGCAAAAGATTTAGTATGAGTTATTATTATATTCTCTTAATACCTATGCGAAAATTAAAGGTGGATTGTTTCGGGTCGGAAGTGAGGTTTTATTAAATATCTAGATATATGACACATATTTCTAAATGTGTGTTTTACTTCTTCTGTCTATAAGCTTTCGCTAAAATTAAGTTATTTCTGGAAACCCAAAAAATATAAATTTTACTGAGGGGCAATAAAATTTAAGMAAATATTTTTTAGCACCTTTTCTGCTTCTAGTTCGTTCCAAATGTTTCAGTATTTATGTGCATATGTAAGCGACACTTTTTCATTATATACACACGTATGTGGGTGTCACGATAAAATCAAGATACCCCATAAAAAAGCACCATTGCTTACTTGTGGAAAATGTATCTAAATAAATTTGTAAACAAATGCAAATATTAAGACAATAATAAGTGAATATTTTTTATATGACAAACAATTCCAAATTTGGAAAGAATATTTTTTATTTGACTTCTGAAAGCAAATAAATAATACTGTTTAAGGAACCCGTGRGAAATATTCAAGATTTTTTGAGGGTTTCTCACGCAATGGGTTCGAAAAAATTATTCTTACGATAAGTACCTATAATGCTTCACAGTAAAGTTTTTATTATTCCGATAATAATTTATTAGAATTTGAGAACCAGTCTTAAAAAAATTAGATTACATCTGTGGATCTCTGGACTCCTGTCTTTTTATGACCACTTATACATATAATTTCCTTGGACTCTATACATGTATATAGATCTACTATAGAACAGCTAGTTAGTGTAGTCCTGGGCGATCTCCAGATTTCGATCTACTATAGAACAGCTAGTTAGTGTAGGATTACCACCTCTTAACAGACCTTGGAAATTCTAAAGGCTCGTTTGACTAAAAACTATTTCATAACAATAAATAAACTGATACTTTAAGAATAATCTCTTCTAAACCCCCCAAAGGTGATCTAGTGACTGATGCCCAGATAATACTAAAATTATGGGGGGAACACTTCTTCAGCCTGCTGAATAGCAATGAATGCAGAACAGCCGATGAAGCGGACGTTCCATTTCTCCATCACGAAAAAGTTCGAATTACCCGTCTGAAGAACAACAAAATGCCAGCAACTGATGGATTAACGGCCGAGCTGCTCAAATACGCCGGCGGAGGATTGATAAGGATCACGCATCAACCTCTTTCGGATGAAAGCATTACCAACGATTAGAATTTATGTGTGCTCTGCCCAATCTACAAAAGCGGAGATCCCACAATCTGCGCCAACTAACGCTTGATAAGCCTCCTCAACATTGAGCATAAGGTTCTCTCGAGTTTGTATGTCAAAAATATCCTATACTGGTCCAATATCAGCGATTGTCTCGCTGATCTTTTATACGTATGTATAAACTTCTAGGGTCTCCGAAGCTTTCTTCAGTATGTTCCAAAATTCGTGGGGTAGTTAATATATACGGTTCAGGGTACAAAAGGTATCGAACAGATTAATTTGTTTTCGTGATATTTTATGTCAARAACTCTACCAAAACAACAAAATTTTTTATCATTTACCATCTGACACAAAATTCGTTGACTCTTTAACCTTAGAACTTAATAAATTTTATCGCGCTCATTACATATATTTCCAAGCAGCATCTTTTCCAATCAATTAAAAGTAGAAAAGTTGATATACCCCTTGACCCACGCACGCCGTYAATTTCCCAAACAACCACATCCATTCGGATTGGCATGAAAAGAAAACAACATGAAATGACGCTTCGCTAAAAATAGCCACCAAACTTTTCATATAATATTTTTAAACGAAAATCATCTTGAAAATCGGCTAAAAAGRTCGAAAACACAAACAAATCTGCCGGCATATAAAATGAACGAGCGCCGAAAYTGTTCAGTTCAAAAACGCAGCGAACGCGTAGCAGTAAAGACGAGCACGAGCAGAAAATCGTGAAAAAGCGCGGAAATACTAAACAAAATTGTGAAATTTTATTATCTCCATTAAGTGCAAATAAAAGGTGAATCACTGTGGAAATTTACTGAAATTTACCAGAAATAAATAAGAACAAAATTGAAATTTATTTAAAAAGTGCTTATTTTCGGCTTGAATTCATAAATAATAATGAATTTTTCGTGGTGATTTTATTAATTACCATTAGTGTTCTTCTCTACTTTCCATTTCACTGCCAATTGTGACCTTGTGACTTGTGCAACGATACACCACAAATTTTGGATTTCGCTGTTGAACCGTAGATGTCAGTAGTGCCCCTAATGTTCCGTGACTGGTGGGATGATTTTGAATTTCCAACGCGCACTTCGCGCCTCTTGGACCAGCATTTCGGCACAGGACTTAGGTAGTAAAAATACAAAAGGATTAATGGAGTCCTTCCTCAAATATGTAACAAGTTTTAACCCCATTCCGAAATTCTTTGTAGACGCGATGACCTGCTGTCATCAGTTTGGAACTCTCGCCCAACAATGTTGCGTTCCGGCTACCTGCGCCCATGGCAGCGCTCGCCCACCAGCTTGCAGAAGCAAGAATCCGGTTCTACATTGAATATTGACAACGAGAAATTCGAAGTCATTTTGGACGTGCAACAATTCACACCCAATGAGATCACTGTYAAAGTGACCGACAAGTTTGTGCTTGTTGAGGGTAAACACGAGGAGCGCCAGGATGAGCACGGTTTTGTGTCCAGACAGTTCTCCAGACGTTAYTTGCTGCCAAGTTAGTACCAATCTCTTAGCTGCATTTTAAATTAAAAATATTTATTTTAATTTTTATAATAATTTTTAGATGACATTAACCCCGACAACGTGACCTCATCACTGTCTTCGGACGGTCTGCTCACCATCACCGCCCCCATGAAGAAGCTGCCTCCTCCTGCCACTGAACGTGTGGTGCCCATCTCGCAAACCGGCCCATCCTCGAAGGAAGACAATGCCAAGAAAATCGAGACCACCACCGCCTAAGTCACTCTCACGACTTCGGTTGAAATAGACTGTTTTCCATTTTCTAATACTCATGCCTACKCAAATGACTCATCATTGTTAATCATGCATTCAAAATGCATTTTCAGTTATTTAGCATAAATAATAATCATTTACAATTTTATAATTTATTTTTTTTATACTAAAAAAGAAGAAAAAAAACAACAAAAACTAGTGCGATTATTCATTTATAGATTGTATAGTATTAGGTAGAGGGGTACACTTTGAGGTGTTAGCTTTTTTGACCCAATGCTTTCGCTATTCAGAATCTCCTAACTATAGGTCGAAATGCCTCATCTTCTTAATAAAATTGATCTTTCAACTTTTCGATTTAATTTCGTAATACGGTTACATAGTTCTTGAGGTTTGGGAAAAATAAAAAATCGGTGGAGGTTAGTTCCGGARAATCCGGTGGTTTTCAAACAATTAAAAACTCAATTCATTTATGTACTTTCATGACTTACTTTTCATGAACGATTTAATTGATCTGTAACACGTTGAATTGAGCGATTGTAACCGTCCCTCAGTTTTTGAGATATAGATCTGACATACTCCCGTTCCCTACATGCTAGATGCTCCTCATATGTTGGAACCGCTGATATTCAATCACGATAGTATATATCTGCCATATAAATTGACCGTTGAAAATGAAGTGAATTATGAATTATTATCCAAGGCAATGCCATAATCTCTAAAAAATTCCTCAGATCGCACCACTATTTCATATAGTTGCCATGCAAAGTTATCGCTTAAAATCAAGACAAAGATCACTTTATACTATTTTATGAACCTGTGAAGAGTATTATTGCTTTTGTAGCCGAAGTGAACTTCTTTCTTGTTTCAAAACATAGCATAGGATTTAGCGAACTTTTTCAAACAGTTTGCCTTGCTTGGCGTAGAACTTGTTAACAAGCCAATTTCGAATCAAATGATCAAATTGATTTCACTTTYACATTATTGATTTCATTAGATTCATATAGGTTATCCGTTCTAGAGAATTTATATATATATTAAATGCGTTTCAATTTCGAAAATTAGCAAAAAGAGAAAATTTGTGTAAAAGACTATTCATATTTTTTCGGAGTTAGCGTTTTTGACAAGAGTTACTTGGTTTAGGGTCAGTTTGGTTTACCATTTTATAATGAACATACTTACTCCTGAAACAGGCAAATTTATTAAAAAAAAAAAAAGAAAATGGAGATGCCGCACAATGCGCACCGAAGACGTCATTGCTGCTGTGGAGTAAAATATCGAAGAATAGCTGAATAAGTCTATCCGCCATTAATGTCAACTATCGTCAATCACCTTATGCCAGATTTATAGAAGGATTTTTGTTTGCGAGAATTGAAGAATTGAAGCCGAACGGCTAACAACCGTGTCGCACRTTACTTAAATTAACTCAAAATGAGATGACCACCGAGTGATGATAATGCACAAGCCATTGTTGACTCGGCGTTACACTTTCAAAAAGTGCTTTATGGSCAAGTGTTATTTTTGGTCCATATTTCTTCAAGTCAATGGGGAACGCTTTAAAGCCATGATTAATGACTTTTTCGTGATTAAGTTACCGAATATTGATGTGTTCCAACAAGATGTCGCTACATGCCATACTACCAACGAAACAATCAATTTGTCGAAGGAAACTTTTCATTAGCGCATTATGTCGCGTTCTTGGACTGTGGTCACTTGCCCGAAATTAAGTTTTAACACATAATAACAAACCGTAATATTTATAATAAAGCTAAATTATTGATTATAACATTAAGTGTTATCCGTTTTTTTATTGAAAACCAAATATCTAAAAAAAAAAAAAATTATTTGTAAAATCTGTTAAGCGAAAATTGTTAAAAGCTAACAGCTCTTCTGCTGAAAAAGCTTTTTAACAGCAAAAAATAAAAGCTCTGTTCCATAGAAATATTTTTGTTCAGAGAATGTTCATATAACATTACATTAACATGCTCTGGTTTTATTTACTCTATGATAACACTAAAAAATGTAACGAAGGCCTTAAAATGCATAAGTTGCTTTCAAAGAAAAGAAAGTTACTGACCTTACTCACGATCTATATTTACGTGACATTCATTCATATTATATTTTTAAATTATTAGCAATTTTAACATGCTAAACGTGATGAAATAATTCCAAAAATATTATGAAAGTTGGGAAATTTGAGTCAACCATAGAGCATCCTGGACGATCTCCAGATTTCGATTATAGAAAAATGTTTGAAAGAGAATGCCAAAAGCCTTAATTATATTAAATTTTATTACAATTACAAAAAGGTATTTACAAAATACATATAAAAAAGTATAAAACTTAAATGTAAGTTGAAAACAATTAGTACTTGGAGTAGTTTATAAAATCATCCATAGTGAGTTGATAGTCCTTCAAGTTATCCTCCGTCCAATCGTCGAATTCTTGTATAGCTGTTTGCGGCATTTCATCTTTATGGCTACCAACTATGCCGCGGCGTACAAATCTGCTTTAAAATTTTTAAAATTTACTGTTATTATCGATTGTCTATTAAATAGCTTTAACTCTTTTACCTAAATTCTTCGACTTCCCTGCCAGCTGCCGCTTTCATACTCTCAAACTCTTTGACATGATTGCACGCGGGATTATCCTTCATTTTATCGAACGATAGATGATCCACGAGCTGTGTTAGCTGCTCCTGCTCAACTTCACGCTCCAAGAATTTACATACATCTTTGATGACACCGCCCAAGTCACGCTTCATGCGCTCATAGCTGGTGAAGAAAATTTGCGGTTCATCACGCAGCTGCCAGAAGTCGAGCACATGTGGCCAGAATGGGTTGAAGTTGACGTGGCCGTCAATATAGGAATGCATGAAGTCCTCTTTTGTACCCTTATAGCCGACCATGCCACGCCAATGATGGAAGTACGAGATAGCCGCGTCTTTCGGATTACGGAACACATAGATGATCTAAAAAGTCGAAGGTTTTCTTTAATACATTTTTTTATTGTCGTATCTTTTATGCGCACCTTTGGCTTCTTAGTCCACACTTGTTTCGGCAGCAGCCAAGCGGGCAGGTGAGATTTTATCAAACGCGGTGACGGCAATTTGTTTAAGGCCTCAATTGTGTCATGTGGCACATTCGGTACAACGCCGTTGAATCTGAAATATATCATTTAATTAGCGCAAGTTTGTTTTAAATATTTTATCTACTTCTAACTCACTCCAAAAATGGCGAGCGTATGGTAAGATCGTCCGTTTTTGCCTTCTCGAAATCGAAATTGTTCAAAATCAGCCAAGTCATTTCCTGCGTCCATGTTGTGCCACATTTGGTGCTCGTTACAATCCAAACATCATCTTCACGAACCTCGAAATTATGCACACGATCCAAGACGGGTTGGAAGGTGTCCGCAAGTGAGCAATAGCGGTTCTGCCAGTTGCCGACAACATCAACGCTGGGCTTTGCTGTGGCATAAATCGCAGAGTAACCGCCGGTAATGGCGAGTTTTTCAATTTGATCGAATGGTACGCTTTCGGCGTAGAATGTGGCACTCGGCATCTATATGGGGGGTGGGGGGTGAGAGAAGAGGGTTCTTATTATTTTGCTCGGGTTGGAAATTTTTAAAGTATTAACTATCGACTTTCTATATTTATATTGTCGAGTTCTCTTCCCTCTAGTTGGAGGCTGGCAATACACATTATTAAATTTAACGGTACAGACAAATATTTGGACATGAAAACCGTACTAACAGTTTTTGCGAAAAACACAAAGTTACTTTGGGGGCACGATCCAATAAATGAGGAATGAGCGAGACGAGCTGGATCGATTTTACCACGCTCGTCTGTTCCTGTCCATCTGTCTGTACATATGCGAACCACCACTTCAGTTTTCGAGATACTGATCTGAAATTTTGTACATGTTCTTTTGTCTTCAAGAAGCACCTCATTTGTTCGAACCGCCAATATTATATTATTATAGGGTATAGCTGCAGTACAAACTGATCGATCAAAATGCAGTCACAATGCAACAATTGAACGAATAGCATGAACCGGCCACAATGTAATTCACTTGTTCAATAGCAACTTAATGAATGACCTACTTTCAATTTGCATAAAAAGAGAATCAACAAAATGTATGATAAGCGATCAAAATATTACAGCACTATTCACAATGCGCAGGCAGTTCATTGACGCGCTTTGTGAATTTCTTTCACAACCCCTTTCTTTCTCCGCTAAAATATATATACACACAGGTGTGCTTACATTTGATTTATTGAGAGATTTCACTCAGCGTTAAAATTTTAAACAATTTAAATAAAATTGTGTATAAATAAATTTTAGTTTTGCAATGGTGTTTATGTTGCCGCAGCTCTCCGTTGCGATCGAACCGCACGCGACGACTGAAAATACAAACTGAATGCGAAGTTTCGCACGAAGCGCAGTAGCGCTTGCTCACTTGAGTGATCAACGGTGAGCATAAGCTGCTGCTAACAAACAAAAGCAGACGATTTTTGTAAAAAAATAAATAAAAGTAATAAATAGTGAACATAAATCTGAAGTTAAGGCATACAAAGCAGTGTCAGCGGATATACTATGTAGTATTATATGTTTGCGTCTCTGCGACCAATCATAGCTAGATACATAACTATTTCGATTTAAATATTCGGTTTAAATATGTTTTTTTAATCGGGCGGTTTTATTGTTAAACAAATTTTATATATCTTCTTAATTTGCGTAGACACCGCTTAATTTTGTAATTTTTTCATTGGGTTGTTTTTTACGTGGCGGGTCCCAAACCCAGCGCACAACTCTATGTAGGGGATATTTCGCCTTCTCACTTTAGCTCGCCTTTAAACGAATGTTCTTAGGCTACCCAGAGGATATTTGGTCAAAGACCGGAAGTCGTGAGCTGCTTGAGTCATATGTAAAAGAATCGTTTCTGGCCACTCCCAAGTGAGTGGCGATCAGAGAACTTTAATCAATGACTCCATCCTGCTTTTTATTTATACCTGTTCTAAAACAATGTCTGAACGGCATTATATTTTCATCGACATAGTCTTTTAATATGGTATGCCCTGTATTGACTCAAGAGTTTTCTATCGGATATTGTTTTTGCGTTTTGAGAGCAAATGTCATATGACACCAATTCCAGAAAAAGGATGCTTCTCGTTAGATGCTAGAATTGGCCATTCGACTAAAGTCAAAATAATTTCAGTTGAGCCTTAGAAAGTGTGGAGTGTCTCTGTTAGCTATCGCTCTGAAAAGAATTTATTTCGCATACTTCGCTCAACTTCTGGTCAATATAATCGGTCTACTGAGCTTACTATTCTATGTTGGATAATATTCGAGCGAATAATCAACGTCCTGCTCGCAGTGAATACATTATAGCAGCACGAAGACCGTGGAGAGTCGATTTGGCGCCGTTTGCAGAATTCGGACTGACGTGTGGAACGACTTAGGTTATTTTACGTCGAAATCTTAAACTAAAAACATAAAAAATACTGCTTTTGCAAGAACTGAAGCCGCTTGACCTTCCCAAGCGACATCGCTCCGTTCTATCTCTCTTGAAAAGTTCCAAAATATCTGGTGTTTTCGAGCCCAACTTTGTTCAACGAAGAGGCCCATTATGGCTCAATAGGTATGTAAACAAGAAAAATTGTCTAATTTGGGTCGAAAAGCAACCGAAAGAGACTCAAGAGTTCCCATTTCGTCCAGGAAAAAGAATTTATGTGGTTTGTGGGCCGGTGGAATAATCGGTTCATATTTCTTCAAAAACGAACGTAACCGTCAAGATCGACGGTTTTTTGATATCTGCAAGTGAAGCTAACCACACATCGCATCAATCAACGGATTTATTGAGAGAACATTTCGGGGAGTAGATAATTTCACATTTTGCGCCAGTCGATTGGGCAACCAAGAAACAGGACAATTCCATTCCGATTCAGACTTTGGAGCAAAACATCATTGTGTGTGTCATTCGCCAGTTACCAATCGAAATGCTGGAATAATTTATCGAAGATGGGACTCAATGGATGAACCATCTGAGACGTAGCCTCGGCCAACATTTGAAAGAGATAATCTTCAAAATATAAATGCCAAAGAATGTTCTTTAGAATAATAATTAACATTCCCCAATAAATTTTAAGTTTTTGTGTTTTGTGTTTGATATTTTCAATTGTATTTCATATCCATTAAATTTTCGAAAATTAACATTCCTAACTAATAATTAACCAAAAGTTATAACAATTACCACATTCATACCATATTTAAGGTACCTAATTTCATTGTGAGGAACGCGTAACTTACACACGTCGTCAGAATTGGTATTGGCAACTTGCCACAATGAATTACATATATTTGTAGTTTACAACATCATTATTGCCTTATTGCATAACTCAGTAATATTCGTGAAGTTCAAATAACAGCAATAAAGACGTAATATGACAACTCTTCATTCAGTTTCTACGCATTTCTTTAATTTTTTGCTTTATTTTGTTTATTTAACAAGTTTTGGTATCAATAACTTTGGTTCAATAAAAATGAAAGTTTCTCTCGCTGCCGCTTTCGGCAGTCTCTCCGTGTATGACAAGAGGCTTTTTGTTTGGCTATTTTGCTTTTTCTTTGCTTTTAATATTATTTTTTCGTCGATCTTTTTTGTTTACAATGCGTGTTCGTTTTATTTTTTTGGGAGACTTGCTTTGAAGACGACTTTCTTTCCTTTCCAGCGTTTTAGTTTCCAACTGAAGTGATGGGCGCCAGTCTTGAGCTTGTCAAACAACATTTAGCGGCCTCTGCTTTTGTTGTGAACAATGTTTCATACATACTACATAACCATTTGAGTAATAATTCGTTTAGCTAATGATGAAGTTCAGCTTTGGAGATAGTTTTTGCGTATATTAATGAATATAAAAACACACTACAGTCGGTGCTTGTTTATGTAAATTTTTTGGAATTTATCTCGGCATTCCATAGTTGAAAATGCGGTAGATGAGCATAGCGGTAATCGAGTTCAGGTACGTTTAAGAAAAATCATGAGATTGCGAAAACAAATCAAGCCAAATTCGATGGGTTGTCAGAACCGTTGTTGTGGATTTGTCAGCATAAATTCTAGGTTTATCAAGCCATGAAAAAGCCAATCGTTTCTAAATTACAAGGCTGTAAACTTTCTCGCTTAATATTGCAGTATTAGAACAAGTGCAAGCCGAATGTAGGCTTCGAGAAAATAGCATATTATTTCCTTTATCAGTTTTTATCTTCGATCTGTCCATTTATGCTGAAATAATTAGTTATGTTTAGTTTAGTCAGAGATCAATTAAAAAAGAGCGGAAAAAAGAGTGAAGAAAACAGATTTTTCTTATATGAAGTCAATAACGCTTATCCAGCTTACAAAATATAAAAAAGATACTTTAGAGCTAAGTATACGAATACTTTACTTACGCTTAACAGAAGAAAGTAGTAACCTTCATTAGAGGCGATGACACCGTAAGCAACTTTAATAAATAATGGTTTCATCAGATTGTCGGAAAAATTACTTACCGTCAGTAAACAAATATTTGTATGTGTGTATGTCGGCATAAATTATGGTTTTTACTTGATGGCGATAATTTTTTTGTAATTAGTGAATATTATTTCATGAGATAAGCCCTGTCATTATAAACGCGATAATGATGGTAATTACAACTCAATAGTTAATATAATAATATGTCATTAACTTTATTTTAATATTACTTAATTATTTTAAATCGTCGAATCGCTTGAAACAGGTTTTAGCGGTCTTCTGGAAAAACTTTTCAATATATTTTTATATTGGAATATATTAATTTCCTTTTCGAGCTGGCGGGAATTAGGATCCTCACGATTTAGTACTTTCAAATCTGAGCAGATACTGTGCTACTTATGAAAACTTAACTTTGAAGGCGGCTGTAAAGAAAAAGGACCTTTAAAGACATATCCGAGCTACGATTGGACCTTACGGATCAATAATAGACCAACAACCCTTACTGAAAAGTTGTTTGTCTAAGATTACGTTCTGTAAAGAATGTCAACTTATGGTCAAAATAATCGATCTATTGTGCGTCTTGAAACCCAGCATTCATTATTGGATAATATTCCGAATTGACCACATTCACCACGTAGTGAAGCAGCCGTAGCTCAGAGTGTACACGAAGAGCGTGGAGAGTCGATTGAGTGCCGTTCGCAGCAACTTGGACTGACGTATGGAACGACTTGGTGCATCTTAAATTGAAATGCACAGTATACAGCTTGTACAAGAACTGAAGCCGCCCGACCTTCAAAGAAAGCGATCTTAAAAGAATGTTCTTTCGAATGATACTAAACATTCTCCATTAAATATGAAGTTTCTGTTATTTTTTCTTTAAAAAAATTAAAAAACTTCGAAATGAATTATCCTTTCCTAAAAAAAGCCTCTATTTACCACTGTAGCCAAGTTAAAAACCAGCAATCTACATACATTGCTCTCACCAGTGGTTCACATACACGCTATTTGAAAATATTTTATAAAACAAAAATAAACGTTTTCTTCATTTCAAACATATTTTTATTTTGTAGATTTGTCGGTATGTAGTAACATTTAGTACACACAAGTATAATATGTATTTTACATTCAATGTAACATTCTATAGAAGAATTTTTTTCAATGTACAATTTTAGAAGTCCATTATTACATAATATAATACTATATGCTATATAATCATATCTGTGTTATATATAATTATATCAATTTTATATATTATACTAATATCAGTATGCATAACACAATAAATAAATTTCATACTTTTCAGAGCAAAATGCCAATATATATTTATTTATTAATTTGTCTATATATCAAAGTATAGGGTATGTATGTATGTAGTATGTATAGGAGTACGCGTACCATGACCAGCATAGTCACTAGTTTAGTATTCAAAGGTTTTATACGATATCTAATATTATTAAAATATTACAATCTTGCTAAGTACACTACATCGATAGAAAAGGGTTATATACTTACAAATACGCATATATATAAACCGTCAGTTTCCTTTACTTACATTTATAAATAGTTTGATCTCACTTAGTAAATATTTGCAGGATTTTAAGGA